TATTGAACGAACTGACCACCTGGTGATTACTGAAATTAAATATGGAGTTGTAATCTTTCAACCAATGTTCAGTAATACATAAAATATGAATAAGGTTACTATTTAAAAATAATTCAATTTCTAGTTCTTTGCCTAACATACCTTGTACTCGTATATTTTGATGCACCATGTTAACACAGTTTTTATTATTGCTATTTTGTGAAATTACACATTTAAGTATTGTAAAGTTGTATTCTAAAGTATTTAAATGATCTTTGCTAGAGATTACCTCTTTTGTCTTATTATCTAATTTAAATGACTTGGAACTATTTTGCTGCTCAATAATAGCAGGTGTCAAGGTAGCCAATAATTTGGCTGGGTTAAAATATAAATAATAAGATAGCGTATTTGCTACCAGTCTCAAACTAAACTTTGATAGGTAATACCTACCTCTTGTCAAAAACTTCTTAGTTAAATTATTAATATCAATCAAATTAAATTTTAAGATAATTAATAGAATCAGGCGTTACTTTGCGGAAGTCCATTATACAGGATGGCGTAATGGAACATGCATATTTAAAAAAATAGATTACAAAATAAATACAAAAGGTACAGTTAAAATAATACTAAGGAATTGTAAAGTAAAAACTGAAGTTTATTTTTTTAAAATAACATCATCTAAATGATGACCCTCTCTACGACGGCAGTCCTCTAACCGCGAACGGAAATTATTAAAAACTTTCTTCAGTAATGCTGATGAAATTGCTGCCATTTCACCACAGATATTCTGCTTGAGCTGATCGATGTTTCTTGGATTATTACTGTAGACTTTGTGTTTGAGGTATCCCTACAAAAAAAAAGTCAGGAGGCGTCAAATCTGGACTACGAGGGGGCCATGGAATATCACCTCTTTTCGATATCAGTCTGCCTGGGAACATTTGTTTCAAAACCACCATGGAGTCATTTGACGTATGACTGGTAGCTCCGTCTTGTTGAAACCAAGTCCTAGAATTCACTGTTCTTGAAGTTTCAAGTTCTGGAGCCAAAACCCTTCCAACATCGCAACATATCGTTCGGTATAAACAGTGATGTTTAGCCCCCGCGCATTTTCAAAGAAAAAAGGACCAATTATTCCTGCCCATACTGTCGATTTAGGACTATGCAGTGGTTTCTGGTGTTTGAGTTTGGGATTCTCACTGTTCCACTAACGACAATTTTGACGGTTTACGAACCCATTGATATGGAAAAGGGCCTCATCAGAGAAAAGGATATTGTCGAAATTGGAAAATCGATTAAGCATTTCATTAGCAAATGCGAGCCTTTCTCTGAAATCACATTCTTTCAATTCTTGTGTTAATTGCAGCTTGTATGGATGCAGTTTAAGATCCAATTTTAAAATTTGTTGCAAACTACGTCGCGATAAGTGTAAGACAGACGATCTCTTGCGAGTAGACAATCGTGGATCTTCTCGTACAGATTGCATAACTCTCTCAATATTGTCTTCGGTCCTAGATGTTCTAGGACGACCTTTTGCTTGTGGTTTAAACGTTGAACCAGTCTCTTTGATTCCCATATTTTAATTAAATTAGTACTCGGAGCTTCACCAATTCGCCGTAGTTCATATCACATATACACGAGGCATCTTCAGGTAATCTAGACTCTGCGGTTGCTGACCGCTAAGCGGTAGAGGCGAAACACATGTCGTATTGTAGTCAGTGGTATGTCTTTCCTAGTGTAGTGGTGTTGGGAGTAGTGGTGCTGGGATTAGTGGTATCGGTGATAGTGCACGCAATTGAGGGAGGGCGGGAGGTGCGCTTCAAACTAGGTATGACACATCATTTTATTTTATCGAGCGGATGTATGCGAAGTAATATTTTGTCAACTTTAAATGAATTTTTTTTAGAATTTGCTTTAGGTGCCGTCCTTTCACAAGGGCCAGTAGGACAAGACAAACCCATTGCTTATGCTAGTCGAACCCTTAACGATGCCGAAACACGTTACAGTGTAGCTGAAAAAGAACTGCTAGCAATACGAGTAGTTTGGGCTATCAAACACGTCCGTCCATATCTTTATGGCAAAAAGTTTACGATCATTACTGATCATAAACCTCTTGCCTGGTTAAACTCTCTTAAAAAAACAAATAGCCTACTGACTAGATGGCGCTTAAGGCTAGCGGAATATGATTTTAGCATTGTTCATAAAAGCGGTAAGCAGAACTCTAATGCAGACGCTTTGTCGCGAATTAGACTTAATGCCTTAGATAAAAAGGAAAATTCATCCACTCATGCAAATGTAGATAAAGACGAAGATAAAAATAAGGAAATTCAGGACTTAATAAAAGACATTAAAGAATTAGGTGAATTGCAAAAAGGAACATTTAGACCACCACCTCCGGAATCTATGTATATTTCAGACACAGACTCTGAGAAGGCTATGGTTATAGAGGATACCGACTCAGATAAAACCCTATCAATTAAATCCGATTATACCATATCGTAGGCTTCTAGTAGCACATTTACCGCCTCCGGAAAACCCTCTAGTATAGAAACCGCACATTCAGGACAAGACACTGAACCAATCTTACAGGAAGCGATCGACACCAAACCCAATCAATTTTTAGTGTTCAGCATAGACAAATTATCCGTAAAAAACTTTTCTAGGAAAAAACAAAGAATCTTAGAAGTACACTTACCTTTAAACCGACCAGATTTAGTAAAGCAATTTCTGAAAGAATACACTAGGAATAAAACTAAATACTTCATTTACTTCGAAAATGAAGAACATCGTAAATAATTCTCGGAATTAGTAATTTTCTTGTTTAAAAGGGAACTTGTACAATTTTTCGAATGTACTAAAAGAGTCGTATACGTAGATAATGAAAAGGAACAAAGAGACATAGTTCAGAAATATCAGGTCGGAAAAACTTGCCATCGTGGTATTAAAGAAACCCTAGCCCATGTCAAACTGTTATATTTTTGGCATAATATGGCCCAAATCATAGCCAGTGTAATAAACTCGTGTGACGCATGTAAAAAGAAATATGATCGGAACCCCATGGAATCTAAACTCCAACTGACGCAAACCCAAAATAAACCTCTTGAAGTAATTTTCATAGATCTCATTAAAGTCGAAGGTCACTATTACTTAACAATAATCGATGCCTTTAGGAAATTAGGACAGGCCTTTGAAATAATTAACAGGTCAACTCCCGAAGTCGTCAGAGTCCAACAAAATAAGTTTATATCTAGGATCTGAGTTTCACAATGAGTTACTTAAAGAATTACTTTCCTTTTATAAAATAGAACTTCATATTGATACCCCTAACAACCCTAACTCTATGGGATTGGTTTAAAGATTCCACTCAAGCATCTTGGAAATATATAGATTAGCAAAGCATAAACACAAATATACAGACGCCCTTTCCATAATGACATACGCAATAATGGCATACAATCATAGCATACACTCTGCCACAGGCTTAACACCCTTTGAAGTTTTATTAGGACATACAGAAGCACGACATGCATTTGATGTAGATTTTGAAAAACAGTATTTACAACAGTTATAGTTAAAGAACTCGCAAAGCGTACTAAATATCTCTATAAGCATCTAACAGAACAAGTCAACTACATTAGAAAATTTAGTTAATATAGAGCGAACTACAACGATAAAAGCTTATTTAAAAGGAAATAGCATAACTCATCTTCTGGAAATACCTCTCGTCACTAAGGAAGTTTATATTTATTATAAGTTCTATCCCTTACCTGTACTATCCCATAACCGTACCACTGTCATTTTACCAAAATTCCCGTAACTTTTAGTGAAAGGGTCGAAGATTAGACTGCTTAATCATCCCTGTCAGGAAGCCAATGAATACAGTTACCTCTGTTCTGAGGATGACACATCCCAACTAATTAAGGACGATTGCGTCACAAAACTGATGACTTATGCTGAAAATATATCCTCATGCATCCAAGTTCCAGTCATTTTGGAAGGGTACAGCTTATACAACCTAACAGAAGGATTATCTACACCAAGGAGTCTACTTTACTCTCCGAGATTTGTAATAATGAAATAACAAGGCGCAAAATTCATGGCACATTTATCTTGACATTGGACGATAACTGTGCAGCCAAAATTTAATGATATTAATCCAACAAGTAACCCTGTGGAAATTGAAAGCATTTCACCCCCTATATTGCCTATGATTAACCTACCTGCAATAAACTCATCCCTCGAGATGTCATCCCCGGTGCAGCTCAACATAGAAAGTATACATCTTACGGACCTCAAACTTCTGTCAGTTGCATTTAGACAAAGCGAAATTAAAAACAGTGAAAGTGAAAAGACAAGATTAAAAGTGTTAGCCTATGCACCATTTTATTGTATGGACCGTTATTCATTATTGCAACCCGTGTCTTAGTTCATAAGTATCATTTAAACTTGTTTAATTTTTGTATCCGAAGTTCTCCTGTAAAAGAGAACTTCGAACTTGATGAGGAAGGTGTTACGGGTGGCGAGACCCACCAAGATGTCCGCATCAACAGAATATTCTGATTGTAGACCACAGGCATGTGCTGAGTGGACAAACGAAAACTTCCGAGCTCCTGTGTGGGCTCTCATGCATTAGTTTTTAAGCATAGAATATTAAGTTAGTCTTAAGCGAGTACTTGTAGCGATTAAACATCTTTTAATTAATAAAATTAATATTTTTAAAACGTCCTTCAGCCTCTGCATAACTTGACTTGAGCCTGTATGGTCTATAGCTTTTGCTTGCCTGAATTGACAAATCGTAAGAACAACAAATTGGTTTTGTTTTGGTTTGTTTGGTTTAATTTCGATCTATATAGCTTGTGATTTCAATTTATAATTACATAAAGGAAGTAATTATATAACATTACATACTAAAAGGAATAAAACAAATAGTTTTTGCGTACATATTTAAATAAGTTTTTTATAGTTGGAAAATTTACTTTACCATTTATTAAACTGTATAAAAATTATAGTATTAATAATTCATAATGGACTTTAATAATTCTCATAACCAAAGTTATTGGTTTGTACTTCGAGAAGATCAAAGTAATGTAATATTTAGCAGTAATCATTTTACTATTCAAAACCCTCAAAGTAAGTTTAATTTAAGATATTCTAGATAGGAATTTATGTAATGTTGACTTGTATAATAAAATAACCGAATATTTCTCGCACTAAGTATTAAATATGTTGTATCTATGTGAATTTTGCAGGTTAGCTTAGCGGCTTTTACGCGGAAATAAGTAGTTTTAGAGAAATTATATTTTAAAGTTTTGCGGTTAATTAAATTTTATAAACGAGGACCACTACTACTAGCCGCGTACATACCGGGCGCATCAGCCTCGTGAGCCAAATGCTTGGTCTGTGTGGACGTGCCTAGGGGTCGTTTGAGTGCTCGTTGCCTTGGCTGAGTGTGTCTCAGGGTCGAGCCGTCGGCTGTCGGTAAACGGGACGTGCTCAATGATGACTCATGTGCGCTGTATGTTCGATGTGCTAGTGAGGCTATTCTACAGATGTGTTGGTGTTAGTTATGTAGCAGTTACGGGAAAGTTTCATCATCATGAACACTCAATAGCAGTCAACTCAGCAAATTCAATTATACAGTGCATACAAGATGTTGTGGGACCCCAAAGATCCTAAATATTTGAAAAACTCAGCACGAGGACAGTTGGAGGCATAGCAGAAATGCTATGTCAAATCCTTTAGTAATTTATTTCTATATTGATGGTGATGCTTATAAAGTTTTTAATCTACAAGTGTCCAGGTCTTTTTTTTTAATGTGGCTGTTTCCTTTTTCTTAAAGAATAAGCTGCTATGAAAGTAGCTGCAGCAGAAATTACACAGTTCATTTTGGATGCTCGGGGACTTCTGATGTCACGAGTCTCTCGAGGCTTACCTCTGTGTTTTCGGGCAAACTACTGAGGCTGCCTCACGAGGCCAAGCTTGCAAGCTGTACTTTGTGAGCCGGTGTGGACATGGCTATTGCCTTCAATAATCAACTACGATTTAAAACTCCTTCAACCTCCCACCCGCTTATCTTCGTAGAAAAGTGATTTTATATGTTTCTAAAATTTGACTGCAATACTGATTTGTAATATGAAATTTTCGAAATTAAGTTTGATATACAGGAAAGAAATGTGTTATAAATTTTTCAACAGACTTCAAAAAAAGAAGGAGGTTCTCAATTTGACTGTATTGTTTTTATTTGAAAGCTAGTGCTTCTCATGTGGTCCCACATAAATTTAATCAAGATCTCCAATAGTATTTGAGTTATCCTTAATAATGCATATTTAATTTACTTCGACTACTTTGACAACGTTTGTATTTAATTTATATTGAAGTGGGTTGTACAAATATTTTAATTTTACTACTTGTTGTCTTTAAACAGTTGCAGGTCCAGGGACAGGATACATTGTCGATGCTCTTGAGAACAAGCAGTACATACAAATAAATGAAGCTCCTGCCAATTTAAAAAATGAAACTGTAGAGCAATGTGAAAAAGTGATTTTAGAGCCATCAAAAGATGATAACTTCTGGGATAGAAATAAAATAAAATTACTGCTCACACTGTGTCTCGAAGACAGATTTAAGATGGTGAATAAAGATAAAATGTTATGGAATGAAATAGCTGTCATTGTGGGAACATCACCAGAGGAATGTGATAAAAAATTTAGGAATCTAAGAAGAACCTATATCAGATTATTTAAAAAGAAAAGATTAGGCAAGGATATAAAATGGATTCACTACAATATTTGTGAAGAAGTGTTTAAAGATTGTAAATCATTGTCTCCATCAATACTTGAATCTTGGGAAGATAGCAAAATTAGAAGATTGCTTAATTTGTATTTAGAAAACATAAACAAATTTCGAAGTCGTGATTGCTTACAAAAAGATGTTTGGAAAGATATAGCTTCCCAATTAAACACCACAGAGTATAATTGCTATCATAAGTTTAAAAATTTAAAAAGAACTTATTTCAATTGGTTAGAAAGGAGCCAGGAAACTGGCAAGTTAATTAAATGGCCCTACCAGCACTACTTTGAGAGGATATTTTATAACTACAATCCTAATGCTGGTCCTTGGGATAGAAATAAAATAAAACAACTTATAGAAGCATATGGCCAAATAGCTCACAAATTCAGGAACCCAAAGTTTCAAAAAAAAGAGCTTTGGAAAGAAATTTCAAATATAATTGGTGAAAGTCCAAGTAGCTGTGACAGAAAATTTAGAAATTTAAAACAAACATACATTAGATTAAAAATTAGAGCCGAATCAGGAAGGTCCATAACAAAGTGGTGTTATTATAATGATTTTGAATCAATATATGAAAGAAATAGTTACCATAGACATGATGACACCTCAAGCTTAGTGTATAGAAGTCAAGAAGAGGATTATGTTAAGCAACTGTTAACATTTTATTCAGAAAATAAGCATAAATTCAGGGATCCACTTACCAAAAATAAAAAATTATGGCGTCAGATAGGTCCTAGATTGGGCTTGACTCCAGAAGAATGTGATAAAAAATTTAGAAATTTAAAACAAACTTACATTAGGCTAGCAGAGAGAAAGAAAGAAACTGGTAAAGGTAATCATTGGCCATATTTTACTTACTTTGAGCAAATTTATGACGAGCCTAGACTAAACAGGGAATGTAGTCATAGGTGTAGCATTGATAATGTAACTCTGACAGAAATAAAAAGAGTTGTCAAAGATATTCATGAGAAGCAGGACAATGATAAATTTGAAAAATTAGTTCAAGTAATCGAAGATTCAAATGTTATTCAAAGAGAAAGGAACAAAATACTCGAAGCACTTCTACACAAAAAATCTCATTTACCACAGACATAAAATATCTAGCTGGTCGACAGGGAGTTGCTTCGAAGGTGTAAGACATCTGGTACTGCGATCGCCAATCCCAGCTGCGTTGCCAAGGTCCATGCCCAGCAGTTCACATTTGCAAGGTGATGGAGTAGAAACAACCTTTAAGTGGAATTACTGTGTAGACCGATCAACATTTTTTTAAAATTATCATTATTAAATAAGGGTGACAAATGAGCACACAGTTCACCTTATGGTAAGTGGATGTTGTGGCCTATAGACACCAACTGTCCTCCATTAACCTATCACTAGTTGGACAAACTCATGGAGTGCTTATAACATTATTCCGCTTCAGTTTTATGGCCTCCTAGAGGCTGTCGGTGGTAATACCAGATTTGGAATTTTTTACTTGTCCTTTTTAATTTGCTCACAAAAGAGTCAAAATGCTTTGTCATTTCTGAGGACTAAGATAGAATGCCTCTTTACCAGTAAAACAGATCTTTGGTTCTCCTATAAGAGCATGGTCCTTTTCCAGTTAAGTTGACCCATTTGTGCTGCAATATGGCTCACCATTTAAAAAAGAGCAAGTATCTTTCAATAACAAACATTCTATGTTTCTGTTTCCACTTGTGTTATCCTAAACTTTGACTATTGACAAGAATTATTCTTGAAAGAAAGAATATTGCCCTATTTTACTGATGACCTCTAACACTGTTATAATAACAGAAGATACTGCAGTATGAACTCCGAAATATAATATTTATGTTTTAAATTTACTTCAAAACACTTTATTAGCTTTTTTATTGTTGCGGAATTCAAAAATATGATACAAATATATCTAATGTTTTGGTACAGAGATTGTGTTTAACTTGAATCCCAGTATCAAACCACGTGGTAGGATCAATCCTAATCAAGCACTGGTTTATAATAAGTTAAAAAAAACTGACTGCAGATGGAACTTTTGTTGTATGAATGCAATAAATACCTAGTCAGGTCATAAATTCTGTCACATGTTTAATATAAAATAATTGAAACAAGTTTATTCATTATGTAACCATTTATATACCAAAATGAACTTAACAAAACATAGATTCTTATGACACTAAAGTTTATTCAAAATGACCTCCGTGGTTTAGAATACAAGCCTTCAATCTGCGCGGCCAGTCGTCTATCGCAGCATGAACGAGGTCCATATCAATATCGGCGGCTGCCTTAATCAAGGATGTCTTGAGTGACTCCAAATTGGGATGAGGCTTTGAGCACGCCTTTTCCTCCAAGTGTTGCCATATCTTGTAATCTAACGGATTCAAATCTGGACTGGAGGAGGGCCGGTCTTCGTGCCGGATGAAGTCGATTTCACGCGCCGCCAGCCAGTCTTGTGTGCTCTTCGCTCTATGAGCTGGCGCCGAATATTGTTGGAATACCCAGTGCCTGTTATTGAACATGGTATGAGAAACAGGTTCCACAAGGTTCGTCAGGACTGTATTTTGATACACAACTGCATTCGTTTTTACACCTTTCTCACAAAAATGTACCTCTGTTAAGCCCCAATAAGAAACTCCCAACTATACCATGAGCGAGGATGGAAAATGACCTCGTTGGACACGCGGAATACGGTTGCTCGCTTCTTCACTACTGTGTGCGTACACCTTATCATTTTGTTTGTTGTAGCTCTCTCCTACGGTAAAAATTTTTTCATCCGAAAAAAGAATTTCCCGATATTTTTTCCCGCGTACCGCTTCAACAAAGCGCGGCATCTCTTCAGTCTCAGGTCCATTATACGAGCATTCAAACGATATCCTGTTATTCTTCGATATGCCCGAAGCCCTAAGTCTTCATTTAACACCCCTTTCACCGTGGTTCTGCTTAACTAAGCTTAGTTGGCTAACAGTTTCTGCTTACGTTTGGGATTTCTTTGAATTCGCGCCTTCACAGCTTTTATCACTGCTGGAGTCCTAACAGACCGAGGGCGACCACTTCTTGACCTGTCATCTACACTAGAGTCTTCATTGTATCGTTTGATGGTACGATAAACGAATCTTTTGGTTATATTCAAATTTTTCAATACGTCAAAAATTTGAATTGGCGCGTAACCGGAACGATGCAACGCAATAACTGCAACACAGTCTTCTTTAAGCGTCCACTCCATATTTAAAAATGAGTAAAATTCTAAAAAGTATACAGTTTTATTTTCATGAACAATTCGAATTCAATAAACTTTTTTGTGGCCAGCATTCTAAAAGAAATTTCTAAATCTTTAATAAATAAATAGCTGCTCGCACACACATGCGTGTTTTCAAATATATTAAGGCATCTTCCAAACACTAAATTCTTTGTTTTTAAACTCAATTTGCCCTTTTTTGTCGTGTAGGTATTGGACTTCGATTATTAGATATCTATACAAATAAAAAAAAATTATGTGTCTGTTTGTAATATCAAAATAACAACTTTTTACTAAATGCAGTAAAAGTATATATCAGCAGTATATATTAGGTCCTTATATATGAAATTGGCGTTTTGTACGGGAGGAATATAAAGTAATTTTTTTTTGTAAAATATAATTAATTAATCAAAGTATGCACTTTTGCCATCTCATAGGTAGTTCATTGATCCCTTTATTAAAAAAACCATGGGGCGAGAATCAATAAACTCTTTGAAGGCGGTTTGAACTGCCGCATCGGAGTTGAGTTTTTTTCCTTGTAAAAAGTTGTCCAAATTCCGGAAAAAATGGTAATCTATTGGAGCTACGTCCGGGGAGTACAGTGGATGTCGCAAACATTTCAATTATAGCTCATCTAACTTAGTGGTTGTTTGTTGTGCAGTGTGTGGTCTTGTGTTGTCGTGAAGCAGCAGAGGCCTAGAGCGATTGACCAATCTCGCTTGTTTAGCAGCTAGTTCTTCCTTCATGGTTTGCAGTTGCTGACAATAGATATCTGCCGTAATCGTTTGGCCAGATTTGACAGTGAACGACACCGGCGCTAGTCCACCGAACACGAGTCAATTTTTGTTTAGGGCAGGATTTGGCTGGGTCTCCAGGGTTCAGCCATTTTTCTTTTATTATTTTTTTCTTTTTATTAGTTTTAAAAAAGCGAGCGCTTCCGATTATCGCACAGTATCCACTTTTCCTCACAAGTAATGATTCGATTTAAAATCCCTTCATTATTGTGTCGGTTGAGCAAAGTAACACAGCAGTCGACGCGTGTTTGCAAGTTCGATTCACTCAATTCATGAGGTACCCATCGTTCAAGTTTTTTTACTTTCCCGATTTGCTTCAAGTGGATTAATACAGTTTTATCACTTACCCCGACGCCTGCAGCTATCTCTGAAGTGTTTTGTGATGGATCCGCTTCCACAATAGCCTTTAATTCTTCATTTTCCACTTTGGTCTCCGGCCGTACACGAGGTTGGTTCTGAAGGTCGAAATTGCCAGAACGAAAACGTTGAAACCAAAAACGTACCGTGCTTTCTTTTGCGACACCAGCGCCGTACAAATCATTAATCATTCGAGCCGTTTCTGCAGCTTTGGTGCCACGGTAGAACTCGTACTCGTAAATATACCGATATTTCATGTTTTCCATTGTGCGGTAATAAGCGACGCCTAAGAAAAAAATTATCAAAAATATCCACAAGTCGAGTGGGTCTTACGGATTCTCAATCGTGCTGAGGAAGTTGACACCGATCCTTACGCTTCTCTGTCGGTAGGGTAAAAGAGGGTAATGGGAGTCACTTAAGCGAGAATTCAAATAAAAGCTTATTTCGCAATAAAATCTTTAAACTACATTATAACAAAATGTACTTATTTAGCTATCAATTGAGATCAGTTTTAATCAATTTGGCTTTCAGCTTTGGAAATAAATATGATTAAAAAAATAACAGATTTGACCCCCATTGCACTGAGGTGAGGGCAATGGTAGTCACCCTGTGGGTAATCAGAGTCAAACAAAATTTAACACTTATAGCAGACATAACCTTTGGCTGAGTCCCACCCACTACATCTCGTTGTTACTTCCAAAGTCGCTGCATACTAGACATCTGTTCCCTGCGTCTTCTGTGTCATCATGCTCATCGTCCTGACTATTACTGTTGACGTCTGATACCGAAGTATCGTTTGATTCCTAGAGAACTTGCCTCTGCTCTTTCCGAGCCCTCCTTCTGAACCTTAGTGTTTCTTTTTCCTTTAACAGTACCTTTCCATGTCTTTTTTTCTTTTCCCATTTTCTTATCTGAATAGCGGTACATCCATAAAAATATTGGCCATCTTTTTCACCAGATTTGCTATTTCGTCTTTAACTTCCGAAATGAAGATAGTATGTCATCCAAGACGTGGCCTCTAGTTACATTTTTTTTACATCTCTTTTGTAGACTTGTAAATGGTATATCAATAATTATAGCAGCTTTTCGTTAGGAATAACCCTATTGATCAATAAGCTGCAGACTACCTAGTCTTTTCGGTAATTCTGACCCGTACATTTGGCATCTACATAACAAAAAAACAGTACTTATATACCTAACATGTAGTAAATTAAGTCTATAGGCATAGTGTACTACATTCTTTACTTCTAATAATAAAGTGCGGGCAATGGGAGTACCCTGACTCCCATTGCCCACAACTACACTTATGAGAATAAAGTCAGAAATAAAAAAATAGAAATTATTATGGTAATCATGTGTCAATCAATCAATGTACATCACCACAGAGTACATTGTATATACACGAAATTACATCACATGTACATCACTATCATGAATGTCAGACTAATTACACATAAGTCTCATTTAGATCCATTATGAAATTTGAAACTTACCGTTTGTTTTCTTTCGACAAAAATTTACATCGGCGAGGCGCAAAAACAAAAAGCAACTATCATTTCAAAACGCGTGGCGGTTACAGGTGCGAGTCGTTCGAAACAGTGGTGGGAGGCATAGAACGGGGCATAGATGTCATTTCCACCACTCGGGGATATGTAGTTTTGTAGATAAATAGGTGATCAACATTACCCGCTGACTCCCATTACCCACTCTTCCCCTACTCCTACTCTTCAGGTATATCGCGCAAGACAGCTTTCGTGCACACGATTCCTAAAAAAGTTACTGATATGACCCGTTCAACTACAGGTGTATAGCCATCACATCCTTGTTTTCTAAAATAATGAAATCACCAGCCAACACATGTGGTACCTTGTGTACTGATTAATTGATTAGTGATGGTTTCCGACGGGGTCGCTCAGCTGGTGATCTTATTTACCTTACACCGATGGGCACAGGCAGTGGAGTCCAAGGCGAGGTCTTGGCAGTTAGTCTTTTTTTATAGAATAAGGGTGACAAACGAGCACACAGTCCACCTGATGTTAAGTGGTTGCCGAGGCCCATAGACATCTACATTTATCCTAGTTTGCGAATTAAAATGCAGATGCATTTTCAGCCGTGAGGACCAAGATAGAATGCCTCTTTTCCAGTAAAATGGGTATCCGGCTTTCTACACTCACCACGCGAAACACAGCAGTATTATTAAGCCGCCATTTTACGCTGGTATTCTGTGAGAGCGTGGGCCTTGGCCTCCCCGGTCGAGCCGACCCATTCGTTCTACAACTATACTATTAATATAGCTGCAACGTGACTCTACCACGTAAAAATAGTCTAGTCTGTACGATGTACGTAGCGAAGGCCTTCGATCGGGTTTGACACAAATAGTTTATGGAAAAATCGATGGTGATAGCAGATTCCAAAAGGAAGTTGTGTGAGAAAGAAAACTTCTGGTAGGTAAATCGAATAGTGGTGGATCGCCTATCATCCAGATGAAATGGATACATAATCATGAAATCTTAATATCAACTCTTGTTAAAACATACTGATTTGATCTGTCTATAAAATACATTGTATGTGATGGAACTATCATTAATAAAAATATTTGTGAATTATTCGTGAACTGGATTGCGAGCTTAAAAACAGAAATCTCAACCTATTATAGGAAATTTCGAGCTGAAAATTAATTTAAGAAAAATCTATGATATAAATAATCTCCAAAGCTATCTTAAAAAGATGCAAAGAGCAATCACGCGGATTTTATGTTAAAGAACTGACGCTGCGATTATTATACTCAATCTCCTTGTACAGTTTCTCCACATTGCACAACTCATAGCGTAGAAAGCGTTTTTGGAAGTTGCTGAAGTGAATTGGTTTATTTGGGTCCGAATAATTCTTTAAGTTGCCACAAATTCTTTTGCGGCGAGGCGTAAACTTCCGATTCTAAGAAGCAGATATGATATACATATATATATATATGTATGTGTGTGTGTGTGTGTGTAACCGATACGACTTAGGGACCTTCAAGAAAAGAGCCTACTCCTTTTTAAAAGGTCGGCAACGCATCTGCAATTCCCCTGGTGTTGCAATTGTTCATGGGCGGCGGTAGCCACTTACCATCAGGTGAGCCGCATGCTCGTTTGCCCTCTCTCCTATAAAAAAAGGCAAATGAAAAGAAATCAAAAGCGTGAGGTCATGCGACCTTGGTTGGTACGGAATGGTTCCAAACTTTGAGATTACTTTTGTCCTACACACCTGTCTCTAAAGACGCCATTGCAGTGTGTGATATCACGCCATCTTGCTGAAACCACATTCTCCATTGTATTCGAATGATTCTTAAATGATGCAAAAATGTTTCAACCATAACATAGATGTTTTTATATAGATTAAGTGCAGCAAACAAGCACACAAGTCTACGTGATAGCAAGTGTATACTGTGACCCATAGACATCTGGATCTACCTCGATTAAGAATCAAAATGCAGATGCGTTGTCACTCGAGGATTAACCCTTTCGCTGTCCCGTGCACTACATATAGGTCACTGTTATTGTCTTACTATTGTGTCTGAAAACCGGACAGTGAACGTGTTAAGATAGATTGCTGCCTCGTTTCCAGTAAAGAGTCCGGTTATTCACGTTAGCCTGCCGGAGACCCTTTTTACTGGATGAGGCATTCCATCTTAGTCCTCACGGGTGACAGCACATCTGCATTTTGATTCGCAAACGAGGATAAATTTAGATGTCTATGGGCAGAGGCGTACCTACCACCGTATCAATGATACGGGGCCCCCGGGCTACGCCCCGAACTTATGTAAGCAAACATTAAGGACTTCTATGGGACAGAAAGTTAGTTTGAATTATTTGGCTAGCTGAGTTCCTAGGAGTATTAATTGTAAGTAATAACTTATAATAGATATATACTTTTAATTCAATGCGAGTTTTTGTTCCTTTTGTAAAAAATCTTTACCCTTCATTTGCGCCCCCCGACAAATTGTGATACAGGGCTCCTGTAAGGCACGCTACTCCACTGTCTATGGGTCATAGCAATCACTTACCATCAGGTGGACTGTGTGCTCATTTGTCACCGTATCCTATAAAAAAAATAACCAATAGTCCCCTAATAGTGCGAAATCGCTGTACCATTGTTTCGACGTTTTTCGTACAGTCATTGTTGGGCTTTAAATTCTGAACTAACTGGATATAATACGGGTTGAACTTTTAAGTCTTTTTATTTCAGTGTATAGACGATTATATCATATATAAGTCAAATCAGATGCCGTAGATTATTACGGCTGACTCACTGACCTTAGAGGTCAGTGGGCCGACTGCGTTCCCCACTAAATTTACATTTTCTTTGTTTGACGAATCAGGTTATTTACTGTAGATCCAGTTTGCCAAAACTTCCAAGCCCAAGTAAGAATAAGTTGTATGCTTGGAGCTTCACATATACGACAAATACAGGATATAATTTTGGTTCTGCACCACAAATGGGTAGACCGGGGTTCTACCACGGTTTATTTAGAAAAATTTTTGAGGTAACAAACAAAAAAATAGTCTGAGAGCATCCTCCTTTTTTTGAAGTCGGTTGAAAAGCAGTCCTGGCTTGTCACCCTCAATTTATAAAAAAAAACTGCCTTGCCAGCCAAGAGATTCGTTACTTTAAATATACATATATATAATTGCGGTGTGAACTAGACCAACGACCAAACGACAGTGATTTATAATATTAGGTCGTCTTTCATCTATTGCTCCTAAGGAAAGAAAACTGTCCTTACGCGCCTTTTACCGCTTACCGAACGCAAACTACTTTTTTTATTCAATTTATAATTTCCACAATAGTGCAAAAAAGGAAAATAAAAGTCAAAGAGCTTGTTAAGAAATGGTTTTATTTAATTATTACCGTTCTTATGCTTTTAATTGTATATGTACAAACAAACTATAATAGATTATCAGTTTTCATTCTGAATTGAGAAATCGTTACAAAATTCAATTACATGTTCTCAGTGGCAATTCCATCGTGACCAATGACTTAATGTACACTGATTATGCTTACATCGTAACTTAAAAATACACTGTCTGAATCAAAAGGCTTACAATAAATTTGACATCAATAACACTATACCACAGTAAGGAATGGAAAAATTTAGTGTAATGAAAAAATAGTGAAGAAATCACACTTTACTGTCAGTAACCACAAAGATTGGATCAATAGTTTGTAGATACTTCTATCAGTAAATGGGTTATTATACACTCCAGGATCATGCCTGCCATTTCTTTTGACAACACACAAAGCCTGATCAATGTGCAATCAACCCTAAGTAGCTATCATGAGCCTAATACGCACACATCCACTCACTCAATCACACTCACGAGTCGATACAATGCTAATAACCTAGTCTGAATTACCACACTATATTGTTACAGCTAAGACTGCGCCTCGGCGGCCGCCCGGAGCCGCCACCGCCATTTACGAATTCCAACCGATTTAGTAGATTATTTGTAAAATGAATTTAATTGTACACTGTAAATTTCACTAGGTAAGTATTACCTATAATTGTTTGTTTTTATGAAGTCAGTCTTGAATGAAATTGGTCTAAGTGACTGAGCGGTTATTTACGGGCGGGGCTTAGGCACGCAGGCGGTTCACTTCTTGGCATTTTTCTTGGGTGATGTAGCCTTGCCTTTGGCATTGTTGGACATTTTCGACTTCTTACCCTTGGGCTCACCCTCATCATCATCTTCATCCTGTGAAGAATAATTTTTAATATTTAGCCACACAAATACTAATTTTGAATATAATGTCATATATAGATTTTAATATTTCTCTTATTATAATATTTCCAAGCTTCAGAAGGTAAAGGGGAATGAGTACAGAAAACCAACAGCCAATATTTGTGCAAATATATATACATAATTCAGCACTTTTTGATACAGTAATTTAGACAACAGCTACGGGGCCCAGTTTCACTAAACTACAACAGCTTGTATAAAACTAAAAATATTTCAAACAAATATTACTAAGCACTAGCTGTGTTGCCATCATAATTTTGCATTATTAGCCCACATGCCCTTTGCCCTCTGTTGAGCATAATCTATGGAACCCATATAATATAATTTAGTTGAAGGTTTTCAGTACCTCATTCGTCTTGCGCTTGCCAGCTCCTTTCCTTTTATTTTCATCTTCCTGTAAATTTAGTAATCTACTGAATCACTTATGTCAATTTGTTAACTATTAAACTATTTGATTTTGCTGCAATAAGAGCAATCATTCATTTCACCTGTACAAAACCATATTTTTGGAGATATAGTACTTCCACAGATAACAAATGGGATTATAAATGACATTGCCTCTACTCACAACAAACACTGTCACTATCTATACTCACACTGCAGTAATGATCACGAAAAACTTACATAGCTCATATGTTGCAATTAGTTTTTTGTGCTTTAAACTTCAATTTTCTGTTTTATAAAATTGTTTTATTTAGTAGTCTCATTAGATTACTAAATATACTTGCGGTGGCGTTGTCGTCGAGAGACTCCCTGGCTGAACACATTGCCTGGTGGGGGATCTCCCCTTTTCCTACCACGGCTAAATGCTAAATATATTTCTTTTGAGAATCAATATCTTTAACCATAAATATAAATAAATTAATTACATAATTCAATTAGTTTTAATATACAAATATTTTTTATAATATACATTTAATTAATATAATAACATTAATTGCAACATAACAACATTAGTGCTGATTGACACTACAGGCTCAATGAGCCACCATTTCTAAACCCATTTGTTACCTGCACAGATAGTATTAACTATACTTTACATATTATTTATCATTATTTACAATGTATTGTTGAAGAAGTCCTCTAATAAATACAAACCTTGAACTGCGAGTCATCTCCCTCTTCTTCATCAAGCATCTCTTCCTCCATTTCTTCCATATCTTCGAATTCTTCAACAAGTGCACCAAGTAAGTGTTGACCAATTAAATGTACGGGTCCAGAACCCTAGTTGAATTGAAAACAAACAATTGTGATAAACTGGTATAATAAATGTATATGATTTCTTAGATCTGCATGGTCAGACAAATGCCTCGAGCAATCATAACCAGGCAGTGCAACATCAAAACGATATTGCGCACCTGTCAAATAGTAATGGTTTGATTTATCATCATAAGAATACATTATTTAAAATAACATAACTAAATATATAATAAGAATTATTCCTCTCTTAAATTATAACAAGTACAGTAATCTTGAATCTATAACATGATGCAGATTATCTATTTATGATGTTATAAATAAAGACCATTTACGACTCTGTCACCAAGGCAGCATCACAAAGGAAATCATGTGAATCCTTTGACAGATTCTTGGTGGTGGGGGTCGGGGGGTTTAGTAAATTTTTTAGGAAAATTGTAAATGTTAATGTTTTTTTGGAAATAATAATTATATATTTTTTTGATTAGAAGAGAAATGAATATTAGCCCTCATGTAAAGTGGCACAAAAGCAAATTCCATTCATAAACTATCTTTAAGCATATTAGATGTTCAATGACCATAATGTAACAAATACCTTAGATTATAGAGATTTTTATTAGTTACATTTAGTGTTGTTTGTTGTAATGCAATGTAATAGTATTCTATACATTTAGTCCTGTTTGTTATAAAGGCATCTTGAATAAATGGTTTCAAAAACTTATTGTTAAGTAAATAATTCTAACCAAAACTTACCTGAATGAGAGTGAAAGTGACTGGTGCATCAGGGAACTCAATATCAAGGCGTGCCTGCCTTGTCTCTCCCACTTTTAATATTGCAACAGGAATTTTAATAGAGTCTTGTAGACACATGGTTTCCACCTGTTCGCATTAAATTATGGTATAAATATAAAATAAAAACTAATTCAAATTATCTCTTTTCGCTGATTATATTTGGCTATTTAAAATCTTAACCCTTAGTAATTACTTAGTAAAAATACTTAAAATCTTTAACTCGCATTTTATAGCGAAAATACACACCTGTACAACATTAAGTTCGTCGGGTTTGGCATCTGGTCCAAGCAATGCTTGACGAATTAATAACTTATTACTGCGCGGGTATTCTGCCTTTGCTTCCGGATCCCATGTCTCTGACTGATGTGATGATGAAAGGGTTACACCTGGAAAACGATTAACCGTTGATATAACCTTGTGATGAATTATTCATAAAAATTCACAATTATATATTACGTACACAATGCTAAGTAAAGAAAATGTTAAATAAAACAATGTTTTCAAAACGATAATACTACGAATGATAAACGCTTCAATACCTACGAGACGCTTGGACGCCATACTTTCAAATTACCCGCCTTGATATCATGGGCTTCACTAACGAATTAAAAGTATCATAATGCGCCCACAAAAGTAATCAATATGGCTTACACTAATAACGACAGTGATAGAGGTTTCAAGTAACGCCATTACCAGAGCATGACAAAATTAACGATTTCATATATGGGGCTTGAAAATGGCGGCAAGACTAATGTGATCTTCAAATATGATAAAAATGAGTAAATTTTACTGTTAGTTAAATCTAATACTCCAATAACTATAGAATTAAGGAGATACAAAACATAAAATATTGTACAAGTAAAATGGCGAAGTAGCCGGGTGTCAAAATAAACGCCAAACAAATATCTATATTAGAAAGAAAGTACGGCATTTACACGTTAAATAACAATGTGGTTATATGTAATGCACATCAAAGGTTAAAACTTACCATAAAAATATTCGTCCGACATGGTGATTTCACTAATTTAATGAGATTTTGCGACACGTTCACGTGCGATGCCGGCGCACACAAATCTGGAGACCAGGGTTGCCATTTACAATAATTGTCAAATAGCATAAATAGGGCTTGCATTACTATTTACACTTTGCCGGTTATTACAACAGCTACTTTATTATCTCTTTTTTTACATTCATAAAAACTGAAACTCATTTGATAAAAGTAGCTCTTTTTGGTAGAGTACTTTATTATTTAAAACAACCCTTTTAATCAACAATGATCACTTCCTCGAAAAGAATTATTTTGTCCAATTCTGATTATTTGACCATAGAGTTCCATTGTAAGATTATCCACCATTCCATATATGTTAATAGATGTCGCAAAAGTCAACAGAGGGAAAGTGAGACAGGAGATGGACAGCAGCATCTTTTTTATTGCTACCACATGTTTTATCATTTAGAATTGCAACTCTAAATGATAAAAAATGTGGTTGCCCAATGCCCACCCTCCTGTCAAGCGTGGCAATTATGGCAAAATGAATGAAATCCCAGAGGCGGTGTATACAGAAGGTCTATATTCAGCAGTGGACTTTTATAGGCTGTTGTGAATGCATGGATGGAAATATTCTTTACTATAATTAATAGATTCAGGCGTTACTTTGCGGAAATCCATTATATATAAGCTTTTAAAAAATTACTTCGCAAACATCCGCGCTATAAAATAAAATGATGTGTCTTACCTAGTATGAAGAGCACCTCCCGCCCTCCCTCAATTGCGTGCACTATCCCCGTCACCACTAATCCCAGCACCGCTACTCCCAACACCACTACACTAGGCAAGACACACCACTGACGACAATACGATACGTGTTTCGCCTCTACACGAGGCATCCTCAGGTGATATAGACTCTACGGTGGCTAACCGCTAAGTGAGCGGCGAGCCAAAACAATTGCTATTTATACAGACCGCTGACGCAACCGCTCTCTACTTAAGGAGCGAGTGACTGCGTCATGCGATAAAACATGCGACCAATCACCGCCGGACATACGTAGCCGTTTGTAAAATTAAAAACAAACCGCCGCGCAACACCCGCCTACCCTCTTACCACGCAACCAATCGCCGATCACCGTGAGGGTGACAAACGACCATATTGCGAAGCTCTCTATTATTAGACAGCAGGCTTAAAGATATTTAAGAGACAGTTAGTAACATTTGTTTATTCATTCAGTAGTGCAACATTACTATTATTACTTTTTAATATCTCTAACTGTTCCAGCACACACAGCCGCAGCCCTTTATTACACGTATGTAAGACTTTAAAGGAGTGGTCGTTGCCTAGGTTGTGTCCAGTGTCCAAAAGATGTTTGGCAAAATGGGATTTATCGGGATTGCAATTCCTGTACACGGCTAAATGCTCTTTATAACGTGTCTCGAAATTGCGACCAGTCTGACCCACGTAAACGGCGTGGCATTCGTCACAAACATGTTTGTAACTTTTTGTTTGTTGTGTAATTCCATCCCAAAGTGCCTACGTAAAGACGATGCAAAATTAAAAATTGACATTTGCAATAAAAAAACTTAATGAATGTAATAAATAAGTCTCATGTATAGATTCATCATCATCATCATTACAGCCATTTTTTTATTATTGGCCTTCTGCAGGTAATGCCACAAAGCACGGTCTTGAGTCACCTGCACCAACTTCCTGAATCTTTTACCAGGTTGTCACCATATCTAGTGTCACTCTGATCTTCACTTACCGGTACACAGTTCCCTCTTGAAAACCTTTCTTCACCATTGGTGAAGGTTGTTCGAACTATATGACCGTTCCATTATCGCTTCAACTTAGTCATCCGATGCGCTATGTTGATTACTATTGAATTAATGTATTGATTGCGAATTAATAATGTGAATTACTTTTTTAGTTACACTCTATTGATGTGATATCGATTAACTTCTGCCACGACTGATCACTATGCGACCTCGGCTAAACCAACCATTTAATGTGTGGAAATTGTTTGAATAATTCGTAGAGCTTACATTTTAAAACACTTCTTTTGTTCATGGGTATTTTATTTATTTCTTTGAGAGAGGATAACAACTACTTTCCCTATTTCTCCTAGCATTTCACGTTGGAACATAGTACTAAGTTATTGGAACAATCCCACTTTTTGTTTATCTTACTCTTCCTCTATTAGTACTATCCCTAACTACTTAATGTTGCGCGCATAGCTCCTCGATCTATTATTACTCGGACTGGTGGGTTCACTCGTGTGCCGAGTCGATACATTGATGCCACGTAAAATTGTCATATATAAAATACGCGCTAGATGGCGCTGTAGGTGGAGACAGCAATTCGCGGGTTTTTACAACCCATAGATTCACTCTTGTCTATGGTTATCAATAATGTGCAGTTCATCAAGTTATAAGATAAGTAATCCAAAATGTTTGAACTTGCAAGTAACTATAATTTGTTATAATTATTTAACCCTAGACAGTCAATACTATTCCAATTATTTTACCCAACACTCGCATTATTACTCCATGCTTCCTGGGCGACTCTGGCCACAAAAGAATGCTTAAGTTACAGAAATAAAACAAATAAACAATTCTAATACAACCTATTTGTGACGTTTTACTTTGTTGTGTCAAATTTTGGACAATAAAACGTTCATTGTATTATTTTGTGGCGTTTGTGTTTTCATTCTAAAGAACACCGCTACACTAAGCTATTATCATATAGTCCCTATTCTCTGTCTACGTCATAAAGTAATTTTAAATTTATATTATGACCATGAAGCAAATACAAAGAGGAGACGTTGTAATTCAATTTCACTATGAAACAACGCGTGACAATTTGCGGGGTGAGGGGATGCAAAGCCCAGCCCCCTACACTATCTACATCTACCGATAAATAGTAAAACTACTCGAATCTTTCCATATCAATGTTGCAATGTAGCTTAGCTACCTTGACGGTAGATGGCGGCATATCCACAAAATGTTATAAACTAAAAAATAACATTTTGGCGATTAAAATTTCTTTATGTCTGAATGCAAAACAAATTTTAGCACCTTCGTTTGATTATTTTATCATTACTGAGCTCTACGTACCTTTATATTTTTAGTTCACAGGACACAAAGTGTCGCCATCTAGTGTGGAATATATTTAATTATATTTGAAAGACGACGCAAAGAGATTTTTCTAGAACTATTTTAATAAATTAGGTGTAAAATTATTTACAAATGAAATGTGATGCCATCCATAGCATCGGAGCGTCTATCTCATGAAGCAAATACATTCAGACAAAGAAATTTTAATCGCCAAAATAATAATTTTATAGTTTTCATAATAATTTTGGGAACAGGCCGCTATCTATTGTCAAGTAAACCTCATAAAAAATTACAAAAAGACAGGGCCGCAATTAGAATTCAATTATTTTACCCAGTAACCCAACATTCAATATTAAAATGAAGGAAATTGTACTTGGCTGATTTTTACGAAATGTTTAAGTTATATTTAACTGACATTCTATATGCAAAGAATCACTTAAATACAATTTAAATATGTTTATCATTTCGTGAAAGTCAACCTTCAAAAAATATTTATTTTATCCATAAAATAAAGTCTCTTTGAAACTAAATATTCTATGTTCAATATTAAGTAGGATATTTAATTTGGAACTAAATATCCTATTTATCTCACTAATATTATAAAGGCGAAATTTTGTGTGTTCTTTCTGTCTCCTTTAGCTTATTCCACACTAAGTATGTACTGTGTCTGTGTAATTTTTTCACGTAGAAACGGCTGGACTATTATTTATCTGTGGGTTATACTACTTAATATCTCATGGGAGAACAAATAATAGACATAATATTATTATAATTAATATAATTTTATTTACAAATCAATTAAAATATAAATATTTTATTCCAAATTAGGCTTCCGAATGCACTTTTTGAATGCCAATCTAAGAACATTAAATTGTATTTAAGTGATTCTTTGCATATAGAATGTCACTTAAATATAACTTAAACATTTCGTGAAAATCAGCCTAAGTACAATTTCCTTCATTTTAATATTGAAAGTTGGATTACTGAATAAAATAATTGAATTCTAATTACGGCACTGTCTTTTTGTTATCTTTATGAGGTTTACTTGACGATAGAATACGGCCTGTTCACATAATGATTATAAACTATAAAATAATATTTTGCGATTAAAATTACTTTATATCTGAATGCAAAACAAATTTCAGCACCTTCATATGTTTATTTTACCAATACTGAGCTCTACGGACCTTTATATTTTTAGTTCACATGACACAAAGTGTCACCATCTAGTGTCGAATATATTTAATTATATTTGAAAGCCAACGCAAAGAGATTTTTCTAGAACTATTTTAATAAATTAGGTGTAAAATTATTTACAAATGAAATGTGATGCCATCCATAACATCAGAGCGTATATCTGAGTAGTTTTTACACAATAAAACACAACACTTCATCCTTTTCTGCTTAATACTACGAAAATACATCGATTTGCGATTTTTTCAACACATGAGCGCACAGGACGAATGCTGACAGTATACTAACTAAAGCCACGCCCACTATGATGACGTCAGGACCTACTTAGAATCACAGTGCACAGTTGCTTATGCCGTCTCCCCTTTGTATTAGCTTCATGATTATGACAACACTTTTGTTGATATAGATATTTTTTTTCATTTATTGTGGCACTGGCTACAAGGTATTTAATTAAATAAATGATAGTGAAAAGTGCCCGAAACTAGAATTGAACCACAAACTAATAAGAAGTGCTAGCGCAATTTGAACTCACTTAGTAGATTGAATCGGGAATGATGATATGGTATCAAGAGGCCAAAACGGCAAGATATTTTGATATTTTTATCACATATTAAAAATATCCTATAAATTTAGGAATTCGTATTATGTATATTTTTACCAATGGATTTATTCTCTGTCTACGGTTAAAAATGATTGTGTTATTGATTT